TTGATACAGGCTGGAGTTGACTAACACAGTACTGGATACTGAGTCATAGTGCCTTCCTCTGCCCTTGCTTCCATTTGTTGGATCCTACCTGTTATCTGTCAACTGATGATAGGTAGGTAGGTAGAGGGGTGCGGGAACTGGTACAACTGGTGAGTTAGCTCAAAAAAAGGCTTCAGAGTCCCAGGTGCAAAATTATCAGGTTTTGGTAAATTAGGTTGGATTTAGTAGTTCTTAAGGTTTCAGTTGTGTGGTTTGACTTAGATTCTGTAAGGTATGACTTGTTGTGGTCATCCTTCAGTATATATTCTCCCAAGTTTGTTGGGAGACTTTATATTTCAGTTCATCCTGCCTATTTCCCATATGATATTCAGTGATCAAAGTCCAAGATCTTTTTTGCTGATTTCTCAAATGAATACTTGTCTCTCCCTACCCCCCACCCCCACTCCCTTTCAATTTGGCAGATTTTACCATGTAAAGTTTTTTAATCCTATGATAATGATTTCACAAAAATATGTCCTGGGATGGAAAGACAGGATATAGGGCAAAGTTATGGCAGCAGGGATTATTTAATTAGGTTAGGTATGTTCTTGTCCATTTTCTTCCTTTTTTATTATTTTATCATTTTTTTATTGCTCAAAGGACAAATTGAAGCTGATATACTTTCACTCTATCTTTCTTAGGATTTGTGGAAGTCTGGTGAGTTGCCTTGATGCTAGGGAGGTGAAGATGTGATGATGATGGTGGTTGTCATTATTATTATTTACAAAGCCTCCAGCTATGTTATAACTTCTGTATTTAGGAAAGTACTTAAATGACTTCTAGGGGAGAAAAATATTTAGTGGCTCCTATGAAATCATAGATTGCTATTTGAATTGGTCTAATTAGATTGCTCTGGTTTCTTTCTGATGGCACAAAGGCTTTGTTGTCGGTGATATAACTCACTTAGCATTTTGTTGTGGACCTCTGTCTCTAAGGCACTTAGCATGTAATACTGTATGCTATAGTGGTCTCTGTGTCTGGCCTGTGTGCTGGACTGTAGGCTTCAGGAAGGCAGAAAGCATGTCTTTTCACACTTGTATCCATCTCTGTCAGTGCATAGTGCTCTGCGTGAGGGTACATATTTGATCTTTGCTAAATGAAAGAATTGACTCAAGTTCGTGGAATAGAAGGGGCAGAAAGGTGGTGCAGTGGATAGGATAGAGCACCAGGCTTGGAGCCAGGAAGATCTGAGTTCACATCCAGCACCAGACACTTATTAGCTGTGTTACCCTAGGCAAATCACTTAATCCCTATTTGCCTCACTTACTCATCTGTAAAATGAGGATACACTGGAGAAACGAATGGCAAATAATTGTAGTATCTTTGCCAAGAAAACCTCACAGACAAAAAACCACAGTGTCACATAGATTCAGACGTGACTGAACAACTAGTAGAACAGAAAAGCAGGAATTGATTTCCTTTTGAAGAGAATTTTGGAAACTCCTCTCCGCTCCTGATCTTTTTCCATACCCCACACCTACATCTTCCATTAAAAAACAAAAACTATTTCCCAACTAAGAAACTGGCCTGAGAGACTTACTGCTACTGCTTCTGTACCATTTAGATCTCAGTGACAGATTTTCTTGTTTAGTGTTCTTTAACAAGCCTGATAAGCTATTTCAGAATATATATTAGACAGCTGTACCCTTGGAGGGTCAGCCTTACTTATTATTTATTGGATAAAATTTTTTGTTAAATTATGCCATAGGACACAACCCTGTATATGGTTTAATTTATTTTCATCAGTAACTAGAGTGAATAGAGTGATGGATTAGATAGCATAATACTTAAATTTATACAGCTAAATGGTATATTCAATGGGAGCACTGACTTTGGAGTCAGGAAGATCTGAATTCACATCCTGCCTCAGATATTTACTAGCATTGTGAACTTAGGCAAGCCATATAAAAAAAAATACTGTCTGCCTCAGTTTCCTCATCTGTAAAATGAGGATAATAATAGCAACTACCTCCCAGAGTGGTGATGAGAATGAAGTGAGATAATATGTTAAATGCTTTGTAAACCTCAAAGATATATATCTTTATATAGCTATTGGCTATTTACTATTGTCATTAAGTCATGAGGAAAGTCTTGAATGATGGGGTTAGAATTCAGATTGACCTTGAACAAAATAAACTGGATGGAGATAAATTGGGTAGCAACCAGTAAAAGATGAAAAATAAATTATGCAATCTGAGATGAGGCCTTTTCTGTTCAAGTACAACAGGGAAGAAAAAAATCCTCACTATGAGAAGGCAAAGAAGTGTCCCTCTCCCCTTCTTTTCCTTAAAAGTAAATACAACCCTGATTTATTTATAGTAATATAAAGTGTAGAAACTTTCAGGTAATATTTCTAAAACAATTGGCCGCTACTCTGTGTGATCCTGAGTAAGTCACTTAACCTCTATCTGCCTCAGGTTCCTCATCTGTAAATTGGGGATAATATTAATACCTCCCTCCCAGTGTTGCTGTGAAGATAAAATGAATAATATTTGTAAAGCACTTTGTAAATCCTGGCTATTATTACTATTATTATTTTTTTTTAATTCAAGCTCCTATTAGAGATATATAGGATCATCTAATCCAATCCTTTTTTCTCACAAATGAGGAAACTAAGACCCAGGGAAGGGAAATGACTTTATCCAACATCACCCAGTTAGTAAATGACAGCTTGTAGAGAAAATAGAAGAGTCTAGAAGAAAAAGGCTAAATTTCTTAATATGTTAGCATTGAAAAATAGGGCATTAGGGGATAGGCTAAAGTTATAAAATATTTAGGCTAATCAAGGGAATGCTAGGACATAATTAAATTAATGGACTTTCAACCCCAGAAATAGTTCAGTTCAGTTCAGCATTTATTAAGCTCCTTCCGTGTGCTGGGTTTGCCATTTAGTAAGAAAATAACATGATCCCTGTCCTGAAGAAGCTTTTCAGTCGAGTCTGACTCATTGTGACCTCATTTGGGGTTTTCTTGGTAGAGATTCTAGTGTCATTTGCCATTTCCTTCTCCAGCTCATTTTAAGAAATGAGGAAACTGAGGCAAATTGGGTTAAGTGACTTGCCAGGGTCACACAGCTAGTAAATGTCTGAGGCCAGATTTGAACTTAGGAAGATGGGTCTCCCTGACTCTAGGCCTATCACTCTATCTACTGCACAACCTAGCAGACCTGACGAAGTCTAATTTTATAACCATGCATCCACAGGGAAACACAGTATAATATGGTTTATAATATGGTTTATAGTGTGATAGGGGAAAATGTGAGAAACACTCTATCTTCTATGAAATTTTGAGAAGGCATGGAATACTTATTTTTTTAAGTTTTGATATATTTTGTTTTGATACAAGAGTCACTTAAGGCTTATAGATTTAGAGGGAGAAAGGACCTCATAGATTGTCTTGTCTAACTCTCTCATTTCATAGACATGGAAACTGAGATCCCTAGAGGATGTGAATGCTTACAGTGTAACACGAACAATGGCAGAGGTGGGATTTGAACCTAGTTCCTATGACTTCAAATCTAGGACACTTTTGGTGGTAACACACTGACTTACCTCCAGGCACCAAAATAAATTCCTCTATAAAACATATTCCCAAAACTGTGAGTTTATCAAGTGACAATAAGGTAATGCAGTGGAGAGAGGTATTGGACTTGGAGGCTTGAATTCAAATCCCACCCCAGATGTTTTCTAGTTGTTTGACTTTGGGCAAAGAATAACTTAATCTCTCTTAGCCTCAGTTTTCTCATCTGTAAAATGGGGGTAATAATAGCACCTATTTCCCAGGATTGTTGTCTAGACCAAATGAAATAGCATATGTAAAGTACTTAGCAAATGTTAAAGCTCTCTCCAAATGCTAGCTATTTACCAGTTGTTAACAGAAAAGAAGGATGTATCTTTTAACTTTGACAATATAATAGTAATGTTTACTTTTATTTGACCAGAATATTGTTTCAGAGAAACAGTTTTAGCTGTTGTGCTGAGGGAAAGACTTAACATGTGGAAAATGGCAACTCTTCATTATAGGAAGAACAGAAAGACTTAAATTGCAATTAAAAGGGATGTAGAGGAATTGCAAGGAACTCTGTGACTTTAAGGATTCTTGTGCTCTCATTTGGGGCCTATAGAACCTTGTTCCATGTAGGGTAAGGGAGAGGAAAGACATTAACCAGCATGAAGAGCACTGAACTTGGCAATGGACCTGAGTTTGAATATTGGCTTTGTCACTTACTGCTTTTGTGACCTTGGGTTAACATCTTTGGGCTTCAGTTTTCTGCAGAATGAAGATGTTGAACTAGTTGTCTTCTAAAGTCTTTTAAAGTTCTAGATCTATGATTCTATGGTGTTAGATTTAGGAGTGATCAGAAGGGATATATTTACAAACTACAGGGTGCTTTGGAGTACTTAGTTTCTCTCACAAAAGGCATTAGGGTGCAGATGTACCTAATTTTTTATGGTCATAATTAAGAGACCATGCTCTTTTAATGAAGACAGTGTTATAAGTAATGGTTAACCTAGAAATAGAAACTTTGTAAGAAAAACATCTTGCTACCTATTTTAATTATTTTTACAGTATTATTGTATTCTTGGTACTATATAGAACTGTAATACTTGGTACTAGATAGTACTGGGGCAGCTAGGTGGCACAGTGGATAGAGCATTGGGCTTGGAATCAGGAAGACTCATCTTCTTGAGTTCAAATTCAGTCTCAGACACCAACTGTGTGACTCTAGGCAAGTCACTTAACTCTATTTGCCTCAATTTCCTCATCTGTAAAATAAGCTAGAGAAGGAAATGGCAAACCATTCCAGTATCATTCCAAGAAAACTCCAAATGGGATCATGGAGAGTCAGATATGATTAAACAATACTGCTATATAGTGTATTCTAAAGTATCTTATGATATTCTTATAGGGGATTCTTATAGTAACATTAACTTCAATCCTCCTTTTGGTTTTTGCGTTAGAGAAATTACTGGGTGTCCTCCATCTTTGATCTACAATGAGTGCCAAATCTGCAATCAGCAAAGAAATTTTTGCACCTCTTGATGAGCGGATGCTGGGAGCTGTCCAAGTCAAGCGGAGGACAAAGAAAAAGATTCCTTTCCTAGCAACTGGTGGTCAAGGCGAATATCTAACCTACATCTGCCTGTCAGGTAAGGAGAAAAAAAAAGATCTAATTGAAACAACTTTACACTTAAAAAGTGATTAATTCGGGGCAGCTAGGTGGTGCAGTGGAGAGAGCACCGGCCCTGGATTCAGGAGGACCTGAGTTCAAATCCAGCCTCGGACGCATCACACTTACTAGCTGTGTGACTCTGGGCAAGTCACTTAACCCCATTGCCTAGCCAAAAAAAAAAAAGTGATTAATTCTCAGTTATACAGAGCCTAATTGTTCAATCTGCATATAATTCATGTCCCTTGTGTCCCCAATTTCCTGCTCCTATACCTTTGTTTGCCCTTGTTTCTATAGTGGAGTTTTGACTTGGGAAATTTGGCTAAGGGTTTTTAGGTGAATTTGAGGATTAATACATACTTTTTGTTCAGTTCTGCAGATAATAGAGATTTTACTAGCCTTTCTTTTTTCACTTATTTTATAATTATTTCTGGTTATCTGGCTGGATTGTGCTTTGCTGGTGGCATGAGATGCAGCAAGGTTCATTTGTATAGCTGGTGCAGATAAGCAATGATGGGTGATGTCACAAGATGAATCCTGACACCTTTTGGAATGTGAGAATGTCGACAAGACTCCAGCTCGTTGCTTTGTCTGACAGCAGGTGACTTGTCAGCTAGATGCATCTCTTTTATTAAGCTCCCTTTGAGCACTGTTTTCTTTTTCTGATTGGGACTATGAAGCATTGCTGCAGGATTTATTCTGGACTCATAACTCAGATTTTTCTGATAAAAATAAGAATGGGACTTCTCATAGGATTATAGGAATTTCTAATCTGGTCCCTTGGGCATATGGAAACACCACATTTGAGACTGTTGCTTTGGACAGGGTAAGAGATAAATTGAGCTATACCTTCAAAAAACAATCTTTTTTCTCACTCTGTTATTCTGTGGGAATGATTTCTTTCCCTTTTCTCTTTTGAATCTTTCTCTGATTTTTTTTCCTTTTGGTCAATATGTTAGACATGAAAATTTAATTGGAATATAACTCAGGGAGGTGGTAATTTTTCTTAGAAAAAATCATGATTGCACAAGTATGACTATATTTAGTGTGAAAAAGTATTTGAAGCTTGGCCTGACTCAAGCCAGTCTGGTAGTTTAAGTTTGAGATTGGAGCAAAATGAGGCACAGGTAAAATATCTAAGGTAAGGTAAAGAAGTTTTCTTAGCCGTAGCTGATAAAGTATAATCAGCAAGGTTATAGCACTGATTCAGGTGGGCATAGCTTCCTTCCTCCTATGTTGGCCTGTGGGTCAGACGCTTCAGGCATGAGCTGCTGACTCCTTGTCCTTGGGTACCAGGAAGCTACATCAGTGCCTTAAACATTAGTTCCCTGAGCCAGTTAGATCTTATGGGTGGTGTCATTAAAGTAGCCTCACCTACACAGCAGATACTGTTCCTACCACAGAAGAGAATGCAGGGTTTAGAGGTTAGTGGAAATTTAGACAACATCAAATGAGGAAACAGAAGCCCCAAATGGTGAAGTGACAAAGTGCTTTATTTTGGCAATAGTGAAATAGTAGCAGTAAAGGATGGGCAGCTAGGTGGCTCAGTGGATAGAGCACTGGACCTGGAGTCAGTTAAGACCTGAATTCAAATCCGGCCTTAGACACTTACTAGCTGTGTGAACTTGGCCAAGTCACTTAACCCATGTGTGCCTTAATCTATTGGAGAAGGAAATGGCAAACCACTCTAGTATCTTTGCCAAGAAAACCCCACGGACAGTATGGTTCACTGGGTCATGATGAGCTGGGCACGGCTGACCAAGAACAGCAACAACAACAACAAGAGATAAAGGATGAACAGCAATGCCAAGAAACAAAAGGACTGGAGTGAGCGGCTTTGTGTTCTATCATCAGTTAGACTAGACAACTTTTGGCCAGTTTTCAGATTTTGTGATTCCATCACTTGCCCAAGGTCACTCACACAGGTGGTAAGTTTCAGAGTCATAATCTGAAATGAGGTCATCTTATTCCAAATTAGGTGTTCTTTCTACTGCACTGTACTTCCTTAGAAACATAGCCCCCTGCTAGAGTTGTTGTTTTTTTTAATGGATTTTTAAGCTTTTGTTTTAGAAAATAAAAATGAGACTGCTGATTGATGTCAGACCATAGATACCTTCTTTTCAAATACTAGATAATAATACTCACGTTTTCACATAATGCTTTGCAGTTTCAAAGCATATATGTGAATATTCTTATTTAAGGCTTATAGGGTACCATCCCCATCTTATAGATGAGGAATCGGAATGCCCTGGAGATTGAGTTATGACTGCTAATAAAATGTTGTGGGATTAGTGGACATTTGAGTACTAATAAGGTAAGAGGCAGCTTGGTGTAGTGGCTAGAGAGCTGGCCTTGGAATTGAGAAGATCTGGGTTCAAGTCTTGCTTTTGCTTTATGTTGCCATGGAAACTATAAAACTATAAGGCTTGGAGTTGTTGCTGGATGGCATCAGTGGAGGGAATTTCTGTATCATCAATAAAATCCTAGGCCTAGAGGTTCTCTCACCAATCATGCCTCCCTACCTCCCCCACTTGAAAAAAAAAAGTTGGGATTTAATGACAGAAAGTACTAGGCATGCATCCTAAGGAGCTCATTGATAAAAAGAGATTCCCCACATACACCAACATATTGAAAGCAGCACTTTTTGTGTTCCAGTTAGGACTGGAAACACAGTGAATGCCAATTAATCAGGCATTCACAAATGGTGATATACACCAATGTAATGGAATGTCTTAATGTGCCATAAAGAAATGAAGAATATGAATACAGAGAAGCATGGAAAGATTTATATGAGCTGAAGCAGATTGATATAAGTAGAACCAATGACCACAATGGTGTAGATGGAAAGAAGAGCCACCACGAAACCATCTTTTAAAATATTGCAGAATTACAAAGAACAAATAGGGCCCCAAAGAAGAAATGTGAGAAGTCATCCCCCTACCAGGTTTCTTAGCAGAGGTGCAGGGGTATATGGGTGTGGAACAATCCTTATATTTTCAGATTTTTTTCAATATATAGATTGGCTTTGCCTATACTTTTTCTTGTCCTCTTTTAATTTTTTAAAAAATAAATTCTATGTCTTTTGGGATGACTTTCTGAGGAGGAAAAATGAGGAGAGATATAGTGTGAAAACTAAATGATGTAAAAACAAAGTAAATTAAAAACATTTTAAAAATAGACTATACTGTGCCTTTCTAGGAGTAGTATCATAAGACTTTATTGTTAGGGAGAACAGGGCCTTAAAAAGTTTGTATTTTCTTTAGTTATGGGGTTCTTTGTGTTGGTAATGAAAACATTTTATCAAGTTGAAAAACAGTTTGATTTATTGCTGAGTTGAGTCTGAGACTGTGGGATTTTGTCAAGACTGGCCCTTGGAGATAAAAAGATTCTTATGTCTGGTCATTTTGCTCATATGCTACTTTGTAGGTGTTTTTTTTTTTCCCCTTTAGGAAGCAAGTAAGGGAAAGGGGACCTTTTGGTCCAAAAGCTAACAGTTCTTCACTGGGTATATATAACTGAACAGTTTTGCTTAAATTTTGACTATTCATTATTGCCTGCCTATTTCTGACTTGTCCTGTGCAGGAGTGATAGTGAGATTCTGACAACCTAATCTCTGTGAGATACATAACCATTTCCTCTGCAATGGAGGATAATGATCTGGGAAGAGGAAAAGCTAGGCTATGGGAGGGCTAGGTATCTTTTACAAATAGCCATCAGCTTCAAGCTTCAAGTCTGAAACTCTGAGCTGTGCTTTTCCAGTGCCTTCTGATTAAGGAGAATCTTTTGTTCTCACCAGCTCTTGCCACTTGACTGTTTTAAGTTGTGTTGAAATAGCTCTGACATTTAGGCAGATAGCATAACTGAAGGGGAGGAGGGGGAGCTGGGTGAGATTGACACCCAAGTCTTTCCAATTCTGATTTATTTTTTAATTGAGAGGGAAGAATAAGGAAGCATCATTCACAGTTTGCATTATTTTCACACTTTGAGTTCAACCAAGGAACTGGTAGCAGTTTTTGGAGCCCACCTGCTGCTTGAAGGCTTGTCAGTCTCATCCTTGATGTTTGCCAAAGCCAAAATTCAGTCTCTCCTCTCTTCTCATTCTGACTGACTGTGATTGTCTTTCTATTCCGGAAGGGAAGATAGCAGTGGAGTAGCTTTATTTAAGGAACTGGGAAGAATTGTGTGTTCTTTTTTCTGGTTGTGTGGGTTCCCCCCCAACATTTTCTTTTTAAGCACAGATTTCCCTCGACTGTGTCTACCTTTCTACCCCAAACCTTTGAATCAGACGGATGTTCTCTGTTTGGAATTGCCAAAGCAGCTGCCAAATGAAAGTTTGGTCTGAAATGAGACTGTCCCCTTCAGTCTGCTCTAGCCAGTTTTGGGTGTGATGGTGAAAGTGACCAGCATATTCCTGATGGAGTTGATTGAGAATCATCATTTCTTTTGAACCCATGGGAAATTATAGGATTTAGAGCTGGAAGAGACATTACAGGTGACCTCATTGTGATTTGTCCAAGGTCACAGAGGTAGTCAATAATATAATCAGTATTCAGGCCTTCTCCAAGTTCACTGAGGTTTTTTGTTTTTCATTTTTTTTAACTGACTTCAGGGTAGCAATCTGAAAAGATTTTTGGCTACTTCTGCAGAGAGAGTACAAAGTTAAGTAGAGTGTTAAATTACATTCACATTATATATTCCAAACATTTTTATAGACTTTTTTCCTCACATAAGTGTGTTATTTTGAGTTTTTTTTAATTTAAGTAGTGCTTCATTTCTCTGTGTTTTTTGACCCTTTACCATAGAATTCCTATCCTATGGAGTAGAAGTTTGTTATGACCATGATGCTTATTAAATGTTGAAATGAGTTGCCTAGGGAAGAAGGGAATCAGGAACAGAATGTCTCTGTGTGTGTGTGTTAGTGTGTAAGGGAGGCAGATTGGTCCTTTTTGGGATGGCTTACATATATAGTTTGGGATGAAG